TGTCCAGCCTTCTCTGGGCCTGTCAAAGTGGAAGTTGGCTGTTCCATAGAAGACCACCACGACAGTTAGGGAGGACGCACAGGTTGAGAAGGCCTTCCTCCTGCCCTGGGCAAAGGGAATCCCCAGGATGGCCGCCATGATGAGTGTGTAGGAGCCTGTAGTGAAAAGGCAGGGGCTCAGGCCCATGGTGGAACTGACAACGTGGAGCGCAGACTCGTTGACAGAGGTGTCTGTGCAAGAGAGCTTCAGGAGCAATGGGGTGTCACAGAAAATGTGGCTGATCTTGTGGGGCCCACACAGAGTGAGTGCGATGGCTAGCACCGTGTGTGTAACCAAATTCACCAGCCCACACAGCCAGGACCCAGTCACCAGGCCAACAAAGACCTTCACACTCTTGATGACTGGGTACTTAGGAGGAGGGCAGGTGGCCACACAGCAGTCATACTGGCCACACAGCCCGTAACACGCCTTCTGTGCCAGCACTTGTCACCAAGAAGAAGATCTGAGAAAGGCAGCCCTCATAAGAAATGGCCTTCTTCTCCCAGAAGAAGTTTACCAGCAGTACTGGGAGGGTGGTGAATGTGAAGCAGATGTCCAAGAAGCTCAAATTGCTGAGGAAAAAGTACATTGGAGTGTGGAGAGCAGGACTGACCCTGGTGGTCACTATTAAGAGCATGTTCCCCAGAAGAGTGGTCAGGTAAATGACCAGAAAAAGCAGGAAGAAACAGCCCTGTAGGTTGGAGTGGTTGGAAAATCCCAAGAAGATGAATTCAGTGACAAATGATTGATTGCTCATTTCCAATGTTGTCATAGCTACAAAACAAAACAAAACAAAACAAAAAAAAGAGACAATGACGAAAATGGACTGAGAGCACCCCAAACAGGCTTGATAATCTGCAGCAACATGGCAAATAATATCAAATGAAAAGCAGCCTGGAGACTGATAACCTGTAGGACTGGTCTCAGGGAATCAGACCCATGGAGCTGCACACATTTGCAGGGATGATGGTGGGTGGGAGTAACCAGAGAATTGCT